GTCTCCCTAAGCTGAAAGCCACTGGAGTTGTACAGACAGGTATCAGAGGGTACCTTTGATGGGGAAACTGAACGGGCAGTGAAAAGAAATTCAAAAATAGCATTTGAAGGTCATTGGGTAAGTTCTGTATTCACGGCACACACATCCGTCGGCTAAGGTCCCTGCCTACCCGCACAGAAGTTATTCTCAAAGGAGAGACAGCAGCCTAGCATCCTACATTGTCTCTGGTGGCCTCCCATACAGAGTCTTAAAAAAAAAAAAATGCCAGGAAAAAATCTATCTAGAGGAAACGTACACAGCGCCAACTAGAAAACATGGGGAAAAATTCTAATCTATAACTTGTGGGAAATGTGCCAAAAATATTGATCTTTTTAAAAATATATGGGACTCCTTTGAAAAAAGTAACATAACAGCCATCTTTAAACGTTATATTGTAAAATACCTATGAGGCTATTTCCTGTGGAGGCAGCTTGATGAGAAAGAGATGGGACCAAATAGGAACGAAAATTAAGCCTCAAGGTGGACATTCATCACCTCAGCAGTGTTTACAGAGAGGGATGTCATAGAATAAAAGAGGCAGAAACGGCTTATAAATAATTTCCCTCAGCATTGAGAGGTCTGAGCTCCCGGGCTTATGTGACCCAATCATGTAAATGAAATGAAACCGACTGCCAACCCCACTGTGACGAAATTTCACGTCGCCAGCTGCGCGGAGAAGGTCCTGAGAACTTGGGGTCCTCAGAGTGGTTAGAAGACAAGTAAAAAAAGAAAAAAAAAAGAAAAAGAAAATCCGTGAATAATCAAGAGTTAGAATGGCAGGGGACCCTTCCAAGTCTTTACCAAAGATTGGGAGACAGAGAAAAATTGACAAGAGCCACCTCTATCCAGATCAGAGGTCAGAGTCAGGACGTTTTCAACTCGTGCAGGGTCTCCGAAAACGGACCTTTCTCCCACTCTTTCTCGGAAAGCTGGCTCGTGACCTGTCCAGTTAGCTGAATAAATCACGAACGGGAAGTCCTGGTTTTCGGGAAACGCTGGAGCTAGCGGGAGCTGGCCCGCTGGCTTCCGCTGGGGACATTTGACCCTGCGGAAAAGGTACCTGACACGGACCTTTCGTTCTGTGGGAACTTTTTAGAAAAATGGAACAGTAGATTCCCAGAGAGCGTGAAAATGAAGGTCTGAGGCCGTTCTTGCCTCCACAGAAAACGGGTCACTTAAGAAAGGAGAAGTTCTTGGAGGGCAGCACTTAGCTCAAGAGCGGCCATGAAGTACATGGTTCCAGTCACGTTGGCGCCGCAGAGCGATATCACCGGCTTGCGTGGTGACGGATTTGGGACACCGGGAGCAGACAGGCTCCCGTTGTGGGGTGATGGTGGCCCACAGATCGTTTGTAGATAATATCCAAAGGACATGTATCAAGGCAAAGGAGCACAAAATATTGTGTAGAGCTGTGATGGAGACTCCTTTGAGCAGAAAACCTGAGAGGTCTTCTTGGGTCACCTCCGGGGACAGGCGTGGTCCCGGCGGATCACTGGGGGTACGGATTTCATGTCGCATGGCACGGTTGCTATTTCAGTAACATGCGTGGTTTGGCTTTTCAGCCTGCGTGCCAGTCTGTTTGGTCGAAACACAGATTTTCTCAAAGAAGCAAACAACACCAGGGGTGCGTGGGGTATGGACGTGAGTTGCGTCCGCGAAAGCCTCGTTTTGCAAATTTGTCTTCCCGTCAGAGTCACCTGGAGAATTTAGTAAACGCCAACACCTGTACCCTGTTCCCCCAGAGACTCTGACTGCCTTGGTTGACAGTGCAGCCAGGGAGGTCATTTCTCTGTCCCCAAGGCTTCTAATACGCAGTTGTGTTTGTGAGCCGGGCACGTAGACTTAAACCCCAGCTTGTTGCTTACAGTTAAAGTCCCATCCAGTGTCCCCTTTGCCTGGATCCAGTGTTTTCTGTTAAAGGAATAAAAGTCAGGATGCAGATGGAGGAAAAACTTCGTCGGTCACTGCTTGACTTCTTTGTCATCTTGATGTGTTCTTTTCCAAAAGGCCGCGATCGCTCAGAAATGACCTCATGCTTCTGTCAACAAGCTTTTTGTTTTCTGCTTATTGTCCTTTCTTCTTCTTC